GGAATAATTATAGATAATTTCTTACTATATTATACCTGTACATCTACTGTATCTCATTTTCATAATTACGTCTCGGAATTTTTATCCTTTGTTTAATGATAGGGTCAACATATCCGGATATGTACACGTACTAGTGTCGGGAGAACTTCCACTGCCATCTGGAAGCCAAGACAGAATATATCGTCATATATTTGCAGATGCCATCAAAATATCACTACCACAGATCTCTCCTGAGTGATCAGCACTTCAATTACTATCTATAGATCCTTGGTTGGGAACTTGGTCCACCCAAATTGGCGGTATTTACGGTTCTTATCAGACCACTCGACGAGAGCACGTAACCAAGAATTTCGAATTTAAGTGGCTCAAGATAAGACACGATGACGTGCTGAACTAACTTCATAGAGCTGAACCTTCTTCAGAACCCGTCAGTTGCTCAGCTATTCAAGAATTCACAAACATTTTACGAGGATGGTCGTAATTTAAAGGTACAGCACATATATACATATGCAGGTACATGCTAATGTTTATTTTTCCAGATAGTCACCGTTAGCATCCGGAAAGTTATTCCATTGTTTTACAAGTTTAAACATTCCTTCACGGAAGTGTTCCTTTCCAACTTAGGAATTTTTTCACCGTCTAGGTGCAACGTCGTTGAGTGTAACTTTACTTGAAACTATTTCAGGAGAGCCGCTGTTCCTACTGATATTCGAACCCAGAGCCTCCCCAATAAATATCTGGGGAATACCCGCCATATCAACCTAATCAATTTCTGTTCAATTATTTGTATACAAAACTAACAAATGTTTATTACCCATATACATAGCAGGAATTAAGTATACTTTCAAATATAGATAAATAAAATGGCAGTAAAATTCGCCATGTTGGTTTCTATGGTGTCGCGGAACTCCCTCCCCCTGGAGTGTCGTTAACGCGTCCACTGGCCGCTAGGTGCGCGGTTTTAACGATTGTTAGTTGACTGCACATACGTGACCAATACGCCGGGGTCTTACCGTGCGCATGACCACAGAAACTCTCATTTAATTTGCATAAGACTGATTTACCTCCTACGATAACTAATCTTACGTGCTTTCAAACCTTCAACCCATTTAAAATAAGGTTCATTAAGAATTTAATTTACATAAAGTATTCACCATTATTGAGAGTGGAAGAAAGGAGAGTTTCGTTGTGAAAGTAGATTCATAAGTTCCAGAGATGACATATGGTTTAATTATATTTTAAGTTAGAACTTTAAGTTTATGGTGCGAAGTGAACTTGTCCTTGTACTTAAATAAATATCACACAAGGCCGCGCCATAGCTCAAGCGGTTAGTCGCTGGGTCCCACCGCGGCGGCTCGGGTTCCATCCCGGGTCTGTTCAAGTGGGATTTGTGGTGAACAAAGTGGCGCTGGGGCGGGATTTCTCCTAGTACTTCGGTTTTCCCTGCCAATCTTCATTCCACCAAATTCTCCATCATCATAATCACCCGGGGCAGGCTACAATAGGCCAACCAGTGACCGCCGTGGTGAGTGGACCAAGTTGGACTCCACCCCCCACCCCTAAGCGAATTAAAAAAATCACACAATGAAGAACAGGAGTTTATTGGAGGTATAATTCCACGCATTCTTAAACTCAGTACCTGAGCTGCTGAAAGCCTAAAGCACGCCCCATGTGACGAAAAATTCGTCAAAATTAACATTAATAATCTTTCAGACCCCGTGACGGAAATCATCCTTAGTCTCGTAACTAATACAACTACCAAGAGCTGAGTCCTTGTTGAGAAGCCGTTACTTATGCAAGTAACCCCCACTGGACCGTATCCTCAGCCAGATTAATCCAGTCCATACCAGTACATCCTATATATCTATTATTATTATTATTGGAAGGGGTGGGTTTCCCCATGCACCGCGACTAATAGTCTATTGTACGTCCCCCTTTGATATTCTACCAGTCGCCATACCCTACCGGTACGGGTGCGTGCTATCAGCACCGTTCAGCCAGCGAGATCGGCCCTCGGTACCTTGATAATTCCCCCATCTCCCAGAGGCATTGGAAACTACTTGGACGGGAAACTTGCCTAATTTTGCTCAGAGGTCTCCTAGAGACATGAGGATCTTTTACGTGCCGTAAATCTACGACACGGGACCCACGGCTTACAGTCCTACCGGAGGACTTGTTCCCTGAATTTTTCTGCCCTTAAAAATTCCACGACCTATATATCTAAGATTCATTTTAATATTATAGCCCCATCTACGTCTAGTTCTTTCTAGTGGCCTCTTTTCTTCTGGCTTTCCCACCAAATACCTTAACACATTCCTCTTTTCTCGCACATGCGCTCCATCCTAATACCGTCTCTCCATCTAGGTCAAGATTTTCCAGGTACCCCATTTCTTCATGGATTCCTATCAAAACATTGCATATATTTCTCTTTGCTCCCATAGACGTTACACGCCCAGCCCATCCCACACAACTTGACTTCGTACTTCTAATTATATTTAAAACTCCGTGGTCTGTAGTCCGTAAGCCAACTATACCGACCGAACCATCGCCACTTGTCGGCGAAATTAGTGCCAACTTCTGCAGGTAGTGGGTGTAACGTGAACAGCGCAACGGATCCCCAAGGTCTTTGATCTTGGTTTTCTAAACCGGGGCCGCTATTTTCTTGAAATAACTCCTCAATTATCCTCACGAGGTTGAGTGGACCGTTCCAGACCCACTAATTCTCAGAAAATCTGATAGCCCAGGGAATCGAACTTGGGACCTCTGGATTTGTAGGCAGGAACTCTGACCACTAGACCACAGAGAAAAGAATAAGTCATGAAGCTCCTCGTTATATATATTTCTCTCCAGCCTTCCATGATTTCAACTCTTTTCGTTCCAAATTTTACCCCAAACACCGTCAATTCTACGTTCTACGCTTAGTCCTGTTTACAATCTTGCGGACCACGTTTAGGTGACATTCAATTAGTGGTCACAATACGAACAGAACAACAACAGAAATTACTTTTTATTTAACAAATAATCAACAACAGTGAATGTTATAAAATATGCCGCCCCTAAAATGGTGACACCCCACGAAGTGGCTTCGGTAGTTGACGAGGCGGTGCCGGTCATGCTCAGAAACAGATAGAAATGAGTGTTCAATCACATGCCTTGTTCGCTGTACCTTCAGGGAAGTGAACCCGAGTACACAAGCAGGGGAGACAGGGTGGAACCCAGAGCCGTTTAATCACTGCGGAGAAAAGAATAACGCGCAGTTAGTTGAGGCACAATGCTACAAGCTTGAAGGTAGCGGGTTCGATTACCGTTGAGGCTATCGGATTTTGGATTTTTAACTAACCTAACCCTTCCAGCCGCACTATGGCCCTGAGGTCCACTCAGCCTCTAACAGAAATGAGTACCAGGAATTTTCCTAGTGGTAAAAGGGGGCAGGTGCGTAAGGCTGACAACCTCACCGCCATCTGTGAGGCGATTTGCTATAAAATGTGGGAGCCCCGACGTCTCGAAACCCTATGGGCCACCACGAACTGTCACAAGAATAATTTTCCTTATTTCATTACTTGATATTTATTATTATTTTATTTATGTCATGACGTTTAGGGAAATTTAATCACTTCAAATTCATTATTATATAACTTTCATCAACTATACCGCGGTCCCATAACGAACTACGTTTCCTTCCTCTAGATAGAGGCAGTGTGTCCCTCCGAAACGTCAGTGAACGTATACTAGACTAGTCTTGACTAGCCTTGATGCCGTCATAAGAATCCCAAATCCAATAAGGAACTGATGACTGATAGTTAATGCCGAATAATAAGCGACTTTCGTCTCTATTGCAGAGTTGATAACTCTGCGGAAATATTGTTTAACATGATAACATGTTATCTTCTTTCTATTTGGATCTATCGTTTAAGATTGGCTAAGCGTAAAGTCAGCGTTATATCCAGCGGAATGAATGTAAAATCCTATGCTTTGCAACACGTACAAATCTTAGTAACAGCTCCTTTCTTTTTATCTCTGAATGTAATGGATTTCAGCAGGAAATAAAGAAGGTGCTTTCCTGGTGTTGAGCACGTAAGCTACTGCAAACATGGAACACATTTGAATATGAAACTACCTACTGAAATGGCGTGCTTATGGAATTAGCATAATGTAGCTGAATATCAGATGCCCCAATTAAAACCTTTTTCTGGAACCAACTATTTTTTTTTTATTTCGCTTAGTGGGCGGTGGAGTCCAACTGGATCCACTCGGCACGGCGGCCACAAATTGGCCTATTGTAGCCTGCCCCAGGTGATTATGATGATGGAGAATTTGGTGAAATGAAGATTGGCAGGGGAAACCGAATTACTCGGAGAAAACCCGCCACAGAGTCACTTTGTCCACCACAAATCCCATTTAACTAGACCCGGGATCGAACCCGGGCCGCCGCGGTGGGAAGCAAGCGACTAACCGCTTGAGCTATGGCGCGACCTTGGGTTTAAACCTCGGGTTAGAGGGTAAATGCGGCCATAAACTACAAAATGATCTTTGACGAAGCGTTTTTCCGCGACCAGAAATCAGGCTCACAGTTTTCTTGTCAAGAGGGATGACATGTAGCCGACTGACTTTCACACGGCAACAACAAATGAATTACACAGCGAAATTTATTGAAATAAAGTGAAAATATTATCTTCATAAGAGCCTTAAGTTTAATTTTACACCCCCACAAAATTTATGAAGACATTTTCGTATGAAGGACCCGGGGGGGCGGTATCGTGTATGCGTTTATGACAACATGGATCCTGTATTTCAAAGGAAGGGCCTAATTTATTTTGAAGGTGTGGCATATAACGCAATTTGAAATAAAAATTTCTATGTCGATGTGGCTTCCCGATTTTTTCTTTTTTGTACAAATTTCAGTCATAATCAAGTGTAAGCTTCAATAACATTGTTACAACGCAACAACTCGGATTTATAAATTGCAAAGACCCAATAAAAAGAAACAAAATTAGACTTACCCATATCCGACAACTCTTCCAAACCCATTGATGGCGCGTGGTCCGTTAGTGATCTTCTCCCTAAGAAAGAAAATTACAAAGGCGATTAGAAATAGAACTGACTAGGAACTGTGAACAATGTGGAATTCGAACATATGAAGACGGTTAAAACACAGTCTTATATACGGAGCATTTAACCTCCACTCTTTGGATATACCAGACAACAGACTTACCGGTGGCGAAAAGTGCGTATATATGTGTGTGTGTGTCTAGGTTATGTGGCTCAATCGGTATAACGACGGGTTACACACTGGATGGTCTGGGTTTGATTCCCGACAGGAAACGTGATTTTTCCCTACTTCTCAGCTTCCAGATCGGCCCTGGTACCAAATTAACCTCCAATTCAAGGGTTATAGAAGAATCTTTCGCGGAAGCAAAGCGGCCGCAACGTGAAGCTTGCTATTCACCTGCATCTAGTGACGACATCAAGAATGTTGGAGCTATAACTCCACTCCCCGTATACGCCTAAATGTTGTGGTGCTGAATTAATTAAGCACAGGCATAATTTTATCTTCTTTATAGTGTCATGTGTTGTTGTCACTGATGAACTAGAAAGTATTTGGAAGGAAGCCTCTGTGATGAATCGATATCCTATCTCGAAAATTGATTGGAAGGACTGAGGAAAACTGTGATAAACCTCAGCTAGTATACAGAGTATTTCGACTGGTGCTAGAACATAGCACTTCCTAAACACGGATATAATGTTACCACTGTACCCAACCTGCTTGTTTCGCATGGAATTTTTTCACTCTTTCTCATTACTTGAATACATCGCATGAACAGAATTTCAGGAGTCTGAATTCTTCTGACGGTGGAGAAAATGAGGGTCGTGTGCGCCGTGTCACGTTTCAGGGAGTTAAGTCTCTGACTTCCCACAGCCGCGACCAGGGTTAGATCTCAGATCAGTTCATATGGGATTTGTGAGGAATCTAGAGGCAATTAAGGGTCAACTGTAAACTGTTTCTCTTATGGAGTATACCAGTACCTTTCACGGATCCACAAAAATATTATCAGAACTCGCCGAATATACACAATACACCGAAACAAAAATTTTCTCGCTTGTTCGTGTCCTACTACATAACTTATATTCATGCAACAATTCGCTGCTATAATAATCCGAAATTCTGAAATAACAATAACAAATCGCATACATAGAAAATGTTCTGTTTGCAGAAATAAATAATATATATATAATTAAATCTGTAGCAAGTTATACAGATTAATTTTTCGGGTATGATATTTTATATAATATATTAAGATAGTAAAATTGGTATAGTCTATTCACTTTGTATTAGAAAGATAACTAAACAATGTCAATTGAATATTTTCGTTATCCCCAAACAATAAGGAATCAGTAATACCAACCACAACATTGAGGAACGGCTGCAACATCAATTATTATGTTTAAAAGGAAGTTCATTTATGTTTCTCAACAACAACAACAGATTTGATCTGAGAATTAAAGATTCAATTCAGAATGACTTGCGTAAAACTGTACATCTGATAGAAGATCAACCAGCAGCAATTCATATTAGGTTATTAAGAACGCATAGATGTCTAAATTGAAACATGTTCCGTTCTCATTGTGTAATGCAGTTCTCATTTCCTGTATAGATAATGATAAATGAACCTATCAGCTGGGTCCACGGAGCCCAATCCATTTTAGGAAGCCAACAGTTGCTCAGCCACTCTGGAAATTACCAGAGTTTCTTAAAAAATCTTAAGGTTATTGCCACCAGTCATTTCGATAAACATAGTCCACATACTTCAACTCAAATTTCTTTCAAACCCATTTTAATATTATCTTCTAATCCAGACATACTTTTCCTAGTGGTCTCTATCGTTCAAGTTTTCCTATCAGAAATACGAGTATATACACATTTCATTAACCCTCACTTAAGTTACGTAACCTCACCATTTCAACCCCGTTTGGATTATCCTAATAATAAGCGTCAGTACATACGTCACACATAAATATAAAACGTGATATATGCCATATTCGAACCTGAAAACAAACACTTGTTTCCGGACATATCCCACCCCTATAACAGTGCTTCGAAACCCGTAGCACAGAAGTCTTCTGACTGATGTCTCAGCCACTTCCGCACCTGCGTTTCAACCTCTTCATCACCAAAAGGTTTCCATCATAGTGGAAATTTCTTGACTCAGCTGTAAACTTCTTCACGCGACAAACACTTCCGACTGTAAACATTTCTTTATGAATATCCTTTGAAGTGAGTTCTTTTGCCCGCAAGAAACGCATAGATAGCGCTGCTATTCGGCGGCACACTCCTCAAACACGGTCGCCATTTTGACTACCGAAACCAGCCTCTGAACATGTGCATGCGCGTCTGCTACCTACACTGTCACGAAGCTGGACTGTGCTGCTACCTAGTGATACATATAGAAAAAATATTAGATCCATTACAGCTGTTTTATTTCTGTTTGTGACCTATTTACCGACTCTCCCCTTTACTTGACGAGGAATACTAATTATGAAATTCATCATTATGCAGTTTTCTTCAGCCGGATGTTTCTTCATTCCTCGTAGTTCCAATTATTCTCTTCAAAAGCATATTTTGGAATACCGTCAGTCTATGTTCTACCATCAAAACGACAAACAAAATTCCATATTCATACAAAACCACAGGCAAAGTCCCAGAAACTATGGATAGTAACAGAAAATATACGTATAATTTTGAGATAACTTAAGAGAATAGCATCTATTTTGATACAACAAACGGTTAACATGCGGAAATTCTTTCTCTAAGGGCTTATTTTTAGAATTAAGACAGAATTTCTTTTACGAAGGTCAAACATGATCGTTTTCCCACATGTATTTTCGTCAGCATCAACGCCTATGTCACTGTACATATCAATCGATTTGGGAGACATTCACTGTAGTTGTAAGGAAGTTTCAAACTGGTTAAAATCAGACAAAAATAAAGAATATTACTTGACGATGCGCATGCGCCTCTGTTTAAATCTCAAACGTAAAATATTCAATGTTCATCGGGACTAAGAATATTCCGAAAAGCAGTTGCAGAGAACAATGATACAAGCGTGATATGTTGATTACATTTGTTCTCACGTCTTATGAATTTGGATACAATTAAACAAAAAGAATTTGTCTGCTGTGTCATCCAATAACTCGAGAATTGTTGGAGTTAGTTAGTTAGTTAGTTGTTGGAGAGGGTGGGTTTCCCCATGCATTTAGACCAGTATTGGTCCATTGTGCTTCCCTCTATGATATTCTACCAGTCTCTATACCCTACCGATACTGGTGCGTACCATCAGTCCCTACCGAGCCAGCGAGTTCGGCCTCTACTGGCTTGGCGGTATCTATAATGATTTCCCCATCTATCAGAGGCGTTAGAGACTACTGTTGGGGGGGAAATGTCCTTGAATTTGGCTCAGTGACCTCCTTTGGAGATATGAGGTTCTTTTACGTGCCGTAAAGCTACGCCACGGGAACTGTTGGAGTACTTTTTATGACATGTTATAGTAGAGGTCATTAAACAAATTTCTTTGGTGTTTGAGTGAAAGTTTTCAAGTAAAAGTATGTCAAAATTGTTTAATTATATCACAAAATTCTCCTTATTAAGAGACACAACACTTTTAATTCACTTACTCAATATATCTAAAGTCTAGCATTATTCCTTCTTGTACTGAGAACTGATTTGTAATGGCTTCAATCCCTTTTCTCCTAACACCACAGACTTGTAGAATGTCCGTCCGTCACACAGAATCAGTGCAGGCTTTTGGGAAGTATCTTTTTTCTTCTTAAATTGGCAGACATTTGAAAAGCTTTCACTGCAATTTGTGAGGCAATTAAGATTTTCAGCCACACTAACTTATAATGACTAAATTACATAAAAGTAATTTCTTACACGAATTATAAATTCTTAATAAACATTTATAAACAGACTTAAAAAAAAGTTTAATAAGCTGCAAAGAACTCCACTGCGAATTATGGAGAGCAAAATTTACAATCGTGTCACTATTGAACAGTAAGTAGTTTCATAGAACTTCATCATCGTTTCGGAGTAACATACTGCCTCCTTCTTCGCAGTAGAAGAATAATCCAAAAAAGCAACTAGTGCGAAGAAAGCAGCTGGTTTCTTACTTGTCTCAATCTTCGGTCCTGAAAGTGACGGAATTATTTCCCTCCTAAATTTTTAGACGAAAATTCTACCAGACTGTATACTGGGTGTTTCACGACTTTAGGGAATAACTGCAGGAGGTGATTTTCTAGGTCTTTGTGATCAAAAATTTTCTTATAAACATGTGTCCGATTTTGGACGGTTACGGAGTTGTGACCGTTTTTTCATTCCCCTACACGCCCTCCTGTGAACCGCGTCTGTCAGCTGTCGGGTCGCTATATTTAGCCAGCTACAGACAGAGCGTTCTCGTTATCTCGACACTTGAGAGGTACCTAAGGCGTGGTGGGTTGGTATGTACCCGCGCGGTTCACAACCGAGCGGCAGCCTGTGTTGCGACCGGCGGTGACATTAAGCTTTAAGCTTTAAGCACCAATCAATTCAAATTAAAAGTAATTTCACGAAGTTAACTTTACATTCATACTTTAAAGGTATCATGTATTATGCTGGTTTATTATTTTGTTCCGTTTATTGTCAGTAATCATTACCTTTTATTCTGAGTTTAAAACGGTCATAACTCCGTAACCGTCCAAAATCGGACACATATTTATATGAACTTTTTTGATCACAAAGACCTAGGAAATCACCTCCTGCAGTTATGCCCTAAAGTCGTGAAACACCCTGTATAGTGACAATGTTTTCCAAAGTCACCGCTGAGAGACCCTTGAATATAACTTGTCAATTTAATTTCGACTCAAACCACTAAGACTAACCCACCATTGCATCAGTCTTTCCAACCAGACTTCCAGGGTTAAGATTATATGCTACATCTTTAAATTGTCAAGGGTTAGGAACCACAAGACATGAATACTCAGAAAATGATAATTCTTGGCGTTTCCTTCCAAACAAAGCATGTCAGTA